TACTGCCTGGGGGCTTACCGGCACCTCCGGCGCATCCGGCATGATCGTTTACAACACCAATACCAGTGTGCCGGGAACCGTTACTTATCCATCAGTCGGTGCTGGTCTTTATTACTTTGACGGTACCGGTTGGACGGCCGTTCACCTGTCTAAAGCCGGTGCCTGGGGGCAGAATGGTAATGCCAGCGTAAACCCTGCACTGGACTTTGTAGGTACTACCGATAATCAACCACTGAACCTGAAAGTAAATAATCTGAACGCCGGGTTTATATCCCGTCCAACGGATGAGAATACCGCCCTCGGGGTAGAAGCAGGTTCCGGATTTATGGTTACAGATGGCAATCCGTCTTCAGCCGCCGCCAATACAGCCATTGGCTACCGCGCATTACGTGATAATGCTTCCGGTACGGAAAACGTAGCCGTAGGCCGGGGATCATTAACGGTAAACCTGCACAACTGGAATACGGCAGTGGGTACCTGGTCATTGAACACCAATAAAAATGGGGATGGCAATACCGCTGTTGGCGCCAATGCATTGACCTACCTGGAAGATGATTTTGCCGGTCCGACCCTGGGAGGCAATTATAACACAGCCATCGGTTATAACAGCTTACAGAATATTACGGCGGGCAGCAATAACACAGCGCTCGGTGCTTATGCCGATGCCGCCGATAATGTATCCAATACCACTGCCATCGGCGCTAATGCTTATGTGTCTATTGACGATGCGGTTGTACTGGGCGCAGCGGGTGTTAAAGTGGGTATCGGTACCTCCGCGCCACGTGCAGAGCTGGACGTGCCTGGTACAGGCGCCATCATTGTTCCGGTTGGAGATGACAGCAGCCGTCCGGCAACGCCCGTACAGGGCATGATCCGTTTCAATACCAGCACCGGGCATTTTGAAGGTTATACCGGTACTGTATGGGTAAACCTGCATCCTTGATCCATTGCTTGTGATCGAATCCTATTATTTCATTTAAAAACAACAAGCAATGAAGAAAGTGAATCTATTTAAATGCGCCCTGGTGCTTTACCTGCTATTGCCCTGCAGTTATATACAGGCACAGGTTGCAGCCTCCACGGAAAGCCTCGCTGGTATTGGCATTGCCGGAGATTATACTACTTCCTCCGAATCGGTTTACATAGGGCCGGGTGATTATGTGATCAACGGGAACTGGAATATTTATGCTAAAAATGTCTGGATCAGTCCGGATGCCAATATATCCGGTACCGGCACCATCAGCTTTTATAATCCTGTTGATGCCGGCGGAACAGCGGGTGCTACGCTGATCGATGGGAATAACAGGCTGCAAGCCTTAGATATAAACCTGGTGATCCAAAATAATAGTGGAGCAGCATTGACGCAGATCGTAAAGGATGGTACACTGACCGGCTGGGCCGATAATACCGCAGCCTCGTCGCTTTATATTGGTAAAGACCTCAACCTGGCAGTAAGCGGTGCACATGTGGCACTGGGCAGCGCCGCCGGTGATCTTACTTTTGATAGTGACGCTACCATCTCCGGTTATGCCGCAGACCGTTTTGTGGTGACTAACAACAGTGTGGAAAGCCACCTGGTGAAGGAGTCTTATACTGGAACGTTTGTATTTCCGGTAGGCATTGCTCCCGGCGACTATACACCGGCAACTATTGATAATACAGCCGCTAATGCGTTCTCTGTGTCTGTTCAGGATTATGCGGCCAGTGCTTCGCTGGAAGGCAATACCGAAAATGGTATCGGGCGTACCTGGAATATCTTTGCCGCCAACGCCAGTGGTAATAGTGTGCTTACCCTGCAACATAATACCGGCAGCGAGCAGGTTCAGTTTAACCGGAACAGCAATTTTATTACGCAATATGGCCCGGTAGCTCCTAATATGACAGGTGATGGCGCCACCAATACTTCGTACTCTTACTGGCAGTCTAACCAGGTACAGGCGCCTGTGATCAGTGGCAGTGCCTCCAGCGTGTCAAAAACTTATACCAGCTTTGGTACCAGTGTTACTGATCCTTTGTCTTTCTTCTCCAAGAGCTCCAATATGGCGCAGCCATTGCCCATAGAACTGGTCAGCTTTGGCGGTACTGTTAATGATTGTAAGGTATCCCTGAAATGGGTAACGGCCAATGAAGAACAGGCCATCGGTTTTGAGGTACAGTATAGCAACGATGGCAGCCGTTTTGTAAAAATAGGTATGATTGAAGCCACAAATAAGACTGGTGGTCATCAATATGATTTTGCACATACGCTTACGGCCTCAAAAGGTTATTACCGCTTGCGTATGCTGATGAATAATCAGGATTACAAATACAGCAATACAGTTTTGATGCTGGGCGGCCAATGTTTCCCACGCAGCATAACCATGTCGCCAAATCCTACAAGGGGATTGTTGTCTGCAGAAGGAATGCAGGATGGCGATGTGATCCGGCTATACAGTGTGACCAGCCAGCTATTGCTCACGCAACGTGTGACGGGCAATAAAACAAGTATAGACCTGCAACAATATCTGCCGGCTACTTACCAGGTAACGGTGAGCCAGGCCGATCAGCTGATCTATACAACCAGCATCCTAAAAGCGGACTAGGTTTATTACAGCGCTGGATTTGTAATCCGGCGCAAC